ACGTCACATGCAGGAAGGCGAGGAAGCGTTCACCACGTCACGCGCAGGAAGGCGAGGAAGCGTACAGGAAAGCCCGTGTGACTTGTTAAGAAATCTGTGAAAGGAGAGGATGGAGTTAAGGGGAGGGTGGGGACATGAATGGAGGAACGGAGAAGAATCTATGCATTACACTTGTGTGTGAATCCTTTGAGCATCCTTTTACTTACACTTGGGAAGACTCACTCTGACCATTTGACTGAGAACAGAGGGGGATGGAAAAGAAGGGTAGAAGCAGGGATTTTGCTAGAGTGAAATGATACAGGGAATGAGTTTAGTGTAGAGAAGAGCAAGAGCTGAGCCGCAGCGGAAGGAACAAGTGGGGTTCAGGAAGACACCCGGTGTCTGCAGAGGGATGCGGAAACGGGGTGCCTAGGATTTCTTCAGAAGGTGTTGGGTTAAGAAGCTTTCTGGAGTTGGAGTAAGCGAGGTGAAAGACCCATGGTGAGAAGCTGGGGGCCGCAGAGTGCTGGCTTGACCGGAAGTAAGGGCACAGTGGGGCTTGTTTTTAATCTTTTTAAATTATTTTATTTATTTTATGTGCATTAGTGTGAAGGTGTTACAGACAGTTGTGAGCTGCCATATGGTGGCTGGGAATTGAACTCGGGTCGTCTGGAAGAGCAGGCAGTGCTCTTAACCAGTGAACTATCTCTCCAGCCCCCAATCTTTTTTTTTTTTTTTTTTTAATACATGTTTGCTGATGTAGTAAGACGAAGGGGGAAACAAACAGAGCAAAGGGACAGTGGAGTTCCTCTGTGGTGGGCTCACTAGGTGCCTGAAGGCGGCATGTGACTTTCCAAGCCGCCGCTTGCATGTGTTTGCCAAACTAAGAGCCACCTGGAGTGTGGCAGTCCGCCTGGAGCGCTGAGCCCTGGGCACTTCAGATGCAGCTCAGAACCTCAGCGTCCATAGCAGTAGATTCTAGAAGTCATGCTTTTGTGTCACAGTATACAAGAGTAGCTTACTTTTATGAAACTTTTGCTAATAACATTTATTTTGCACAGTTTAAAAGAATTATTATCAAGTAAGTTGTATTGATGTGTAGGAAATAAGCAATTCCTGATGAATTGGTTATTTAAACACACATGTATAGAGGATAAGTGTAAGTACTGAAAGCAAATGACTATTGAAAAAAGGGAGATTTTTATCTATTTCCAAGGAAACCTGGATTTTATTTTAACTTGAAAGTCGAGAGCTCGTTATTTTTACGTTAGGCTCGTTGCAGTTCTTTGACGCACTTAGACCAGTTTTGGTAATGAGTGGAGCGGGAGCTGCAGATGGGTGATGTGCAGGTACAAGGACCACTGAGCGCCCCCTCTGCTCGCTGCACGTTTAGGTGGCTAAGCCCCAGCTTAGCTCTTTTGTGACGGGAGCATTTTAACAAGTTTTAATATGGCTCATAAAATTGTTAGTTGTTTGTCCTTTTGAGTTTAAAGAGAACTTGGATTCAAGTGAAGAAACTCGTGAATTAAAGAACTGAAAAGGACTTTTAGCTTACTAATCTAGTTTGTTTTCCTGTGTTTAGTTACAATTTAGAAAGCAGTATATGGAATGTAGGCACTGTCTCGAGAGGACCTCTTCAGAGATACGGACATTCTCTCGCTCTCTATCAGGTAAATCTCTTGATTGAAAGAGGTGGTTACTGTCTTCATTTGGGTTAGAGAAATGCTAGGTCTCAGGTTTCTGTCAAGTGCTCAGTGAGAACGGTAGACCACAGGGCACCCAAGAAGGAGAGCTAACATTTCATTATCTTGTGTCATGTTGGGCATATGCAGCAGTGAAGACTGAGGGCTTTTGGTGGGGTTCCCTCCCGCAGGTATTTGTTTTTGCGGAACGCCTTTGTTAACTACCCCAGGCTGGCTTTGAACTGGCTGTTGCCCTCACATTTATGTTCCTTCTACTCTGTTCTTGGGGTCTTGGGGTCGTAGCATGCCTGGTTGTTTTATTTGTGGGGATGTATACATCAATTTATTATTTGAATGATGTTGAAGTGCATTTATAGTATATAATCGCCGTCACCGTTATCGTCACGTATGTTTTAATCTTGTAAAGCTGCAGCGCTAACCATTCCTCCCATCTTCCAACTCCGGTAACTGCCAGCTTTCTGCTCGTTTGAGTTTGACTCCTGTAGGTGTCCGCTGTGAGCAGAATGAGACGGCCTCTGTTCCGTGTGGCTGGCGTGTTTTCCTCAGCATACTGTTCAGTCTCAGGGATGTGGCAGTACAGACGGTGCGCCACTGTGTGTGCGTTAGGGAAACCCGTGCTAACGGTGCTGAGAGCTCCCACCTTTCGCCATGGTCAACATCTGTCTGTCTGTATGCTGTCAGTTCTTTTAGATGCTTGGGAGCAGAGTTGGTGGCTCATGTGGCAATTCTATGTTGAGTTTTCCGGGAACCTCTACACTGTTTTGTATACTGGCAGTGCCATTTTACAGTCTGTTAGTGTTGACGGCTTCCAGCTTTGTCTATGGTTCTGCTAACGGTGCTTTCTGATTTTAGATACTAGGTCCTTGTTGATAATAGAGTTATTAGTTTATGATCTGCAGTTAACTAGCAGTTGGTACTGTTTCGTAGTTTTTTTTGTTTTTTTTTTTTTAAACAGTGTCTCACTGTGTTACCCTGGCTGGATTGAAATCTGTTAAATAGTGTTACTGGCTATTGCATATCTACTTTGAAGATGTGCTTACTCAAATCCTCTGCCATTTTTATATTGGCTTGCTTTTGTTGTTAAGTTTTAAGAGTTTTTCGTGTATTGATATATTAACATTTCACCAGCTATGTGGTTTGTAGGTATTTGTAGGTATTTCTCCTTTTCCCTATCTGCTCACTGTTACAGTGCTGCTCTTTTGTGCGTGGAACTGGAGATTGACCCTAGGGCCTCACGTGTGCTACACAAGTGCTCTTGCTCCGACCTGCGTCCTCTGGTGGTGCAGGGGATTGAACACCAGTACTTGCACGTGCTAAGCACGTGCTCTGTCACTTAGCTATGTCCTCTGTCAGCCCAAAAGTTCTAGGCTTATGTAGTTACAATTTATTTATGATTTTTGTTTTTGGTGACTTATATAGGAAATCATTACCAGATTAACAACATGAAGCTTTTCCTTTATACTGTTTTTTCCTCCCTAACTTTACACATTTTAGATCTTATGTTTGTATCTCTCTTCAACTTTGGGATCTTATGTGTTTTAAGTTCAGGGCCCAGTTTCATTCCACCTGTGGGTAAATACTGTCTTGGAACCCTTTGTGGAAACACTGTCCTTTCCCATTAAACTGTTCTGCCATTTGGTCGGTTTATTCTGGGCTCTCTGTTCTGTTGTATTGGTCCATACATTCATCTTTATTCTGTTACTGCTCTGCTTTGCATTCTGTAATTCTTAATACCTTTGGAAGTCAAAGAGTCTTAGACTTCAAATTTGTTTTTGTTTAAGATTGTTTTGGCTATTAATGATCACTTAAAAGTTCTATGAATTGTAGGTAGTGTTTCATGTTCCAAAAAAAGCATATATATATATATATACATATATATATATATGGAATTTATGTACTTAAAAAATTTAGGGCCTAAAATAATGGGTTTTATTAATTTTTTTGTGTATGTGTGCAGAATAAGGGCCTATAGAATGGGAGGGAGTCACTGTCAACTGTATATGAGATAGGGCATTAACAACAAGAATCTACAAAGAACTCAAAAGCTGAACACACCTCCAGAATTCATCTACTCAATAAACAGTCAAATCAACTGAACAGACAAGTCTCAAAAGAACCACAAGCAGGAAACCATGGGCATGGCAGTGCTTGTGACTCCAGGACCTGGGGAGGTGGCAGCAGGAACCTGAGTTCAAAGCCACCCTTAGATACATAGCAGCCTCAGACTAGTGTGGGCTCCATAAAATCCAGTCTGAAAAAAACCAAACTTCAACAAAAAGAGAAAAAGTAAAACTGGCTAATAAATACATGGAAAATGTTCGTAATTCTTACTCGTCAGGGAAATGCGATTAAACCTGAGATCCCATCATCACCAGGAAAACAAATGAAGGGCCAGAGATGGCTCAGTAGGTAAGATCACTTGTTGCCCTTGTAGAGGATTCAGGTTTGCTTTCCAGTATTCATGTTGTGGTTCAAAATGCTTGGGAACTCCACCCTCTTTTGACCTCCACGGGAAACAGGAACACATGCAGTACACATATATACATACATGCTGCTTTGCCCCCTCAGATCAGGGGATGAGGTGAGAACTATATCCAAGCTTTACAAATACATGGCTTGGGCTGAGCCCAGAACATTTCTATCATTGTTCTGTTAATCCCTAGGCCTGGCCTCCATACAATCCAATCTTTTGCAAGCCTGGACCTTGAAGGTTTCAGCTTCCAGCCTCCATCTGCTACCCTAGGCCCAGAATATTTTCAGCCTCTGAGACTTACTGTGAATAAGCCCACCCTTTCTAGTTCTTTCTGACTCTGGCTGGTCCAATTCAGCTGTTCTGGCTCACTCCTTTCCAAGCTGACTGATTCAAACCAGCTTCTCACTGAATTGCTGTGTTTGAAAAAATTGCCTCTGAACACCACAAACTGGACTGTGCAAACTCAACTGCACTCAGCCTTACTGTACTCCAGAACTTTACTGTACTGTCTCCATGAACTCTCCTGCCCTCCCTCTCTCTCTCTCTCTGCACCACTCTTAAGTAGTTTCTCTTTACTGTCTGTTCTTATGAGAGTTGGTTTTTTACTGTCTCTGACTCATTCTGTCAGATCCTTCTCTGATTCCTCACTTTATCTGTCCCTCAATTAGATGTCATTGTTTGAGATTAAAGGTGTGTACTAAGGACATGTCTGTATTCCAGCCAGATTGTGAAAGGAACTTTTATTTTTCTGTTTCAGTGGCTTACTGCCTCTGCCTGCTAACCTAGGCCTAGTCCTGGCAGCTTCTAGGCTCCATACAATCTAACATAGGCTTAGAATATTTTCAGCTTCAGACTTACTGCTGAATAAGCTCACCTTGCTTGTTCTTGCTGAGCTCTGGGATGGCTGGTTCAACTCAGCTGTTCTGTCTTAAACTCCTCCACCAGGTAACTTATTCAATGTGGCTTTTCCCTTGGCATTTGAATTGCTCTGCTTGGCCTTAAACTAACTCCAACAATCTGCTCTAATCTTCTGGTTTCTTCTCATTCTCTGGTTCATTCTGCCTTTAACCTCTCTCTGTAAAACTTTCCCAGTAAAGCTGCCTCTTGTCTCCCTCTGCATTGCCCATTAAGAAGCTTGTCTTTCCTCTCTCTCCTCGTGAGAGTTGAGTGTATCCTCTTCTGTCAAATCTTTCTCTGATTCAGGGGATCACTGTTTCTGCCACTCAGTTAGACATTGCTTTCAAACATGGTGCTTCCTTCTACAAACTAACTTTACCATCACTGTTTGGGATTAACGGTGGGCACCACTACACCTGCACCTAAGCTTGTCTTTACCTGAAACCTGCTCTATCCCAGTCTGGCCCTGAACTCAGATCTGCTGGCCTCTGTCTCCTGGATTAAAGGTGTGTCTGTATTACAGATAGATCACACAGACCCAGAAGGTCTTTGGATGTGATCTCTTGCCAGAACAGCCATGTTGCTGGATTAAAATTCCTCAACATAAAACCAGACACATTAATTAAATCAGCTAGAAAAAAAAAGTGGGGAATACCCTAGAACTCATTGGTACAGGAGAAAACTTCGTGAACAGAACACCTACAGCACAGGCTCTAAGAACAACAATCAATAAATGGGACCTCGTGAAATTGAAAAGCTTCTGTAAAGCAAAGGACACCATCGTCAAAACAAAGCGACTGCCTACAGATTGGGAAAGAATCATCGCCAACCCTTTATCTGACAGAGGACTCATATCCAGTATATATAAAGAACTAAAGAAGCTGAAAAGAAACAAACCAAGTAATCCAATTAAAAAATGGGGAACAGAGCTAAACAGAGAACTCTCTGTAGAGGAATATCGAATGGCAGATAAACACTTAAAGAAATGCTCAACCTCATTAGCAATTAGGGAAATGCAAATTAAAACAACCCTGAGATTTCACCTTACACCCATCAGAATAGCCAAGATCAAAAACTCAAGTGACAACACATGCTGGAGAGGTTGTGGATAAAGGGGAACTGTTCTCCACTGCTGGTGGGAATGTAAACTGGTACAACCACTCTGGAAATCAATCTGGCGCTTTCTCAGACAACTAGGAATAGCGCTTCCTCAAGATCCAGCCATACCACTCCTAGGCATATACCCAAAAGAGGCGCAAGTACACAAAAAGGACATTTGCTCAACCATGTTTGTAGCAGCTTTATTTGTAATAGCCAGAAGCTGGAAACAGCCCAGATGCCCCTCAACTGAAGAATGGATGCAGAAACTGTGGTACATCTATACAATGGAGTATTACTCAGCAATGAAAAATAAGGAAATCATGAAATTTGCAGGTAAATGGTGGGACCTGGAAAGGATCATCCTGAGTGAGTTGTCCCAGAAGCAAAAAGACACACACGGTATATACTCACTCATATAAACATACAACATAGAATAAACCCACTAAAATCTGTACATCTAAACAAACTAAGCAAAAGAGAGGACCCTAACTAAAATGCTCAATCCCCATCCTGAAAGGCAAAGAGGATGGACATAAGAAGAAAAAGAAAACAGGAAACAACCTAGGAACCTGCCACAGAGGGCCTCTGAAAGCCTCTGCCGTGCAGACTGTCAAAGCAGATGCTGAGCCTGATGGCCAACTGACGGGCAGAGTGAATGGAATTTTATGTAAGAAGTGGGAAATAGTAAGAGCTGGAGAGGACAGGAACTCCACAAGGAGAGCAACAGAACAAGAAAATTTGAACACAGGGAACTTCCCAGAGACTCATACTCCAACCAAGGACTGTTCATGGAGATAACCTAGAACCCTGACAATGCAGCCACTTCTGATGAGAACTGATAGACTAAGATCAGAAGGAAGGAGAGGAGGACCTCCCCTATCAGTGGACTTGGGGAGGGGCATGCATGCAGAAAGGGGGGAGGGTGGGACCAGGAGGGGAGGAGGGAGGGGCTTATGGGGGGGATACAAAGTGAATAAAATGTAAGTAATAAAAGTTACATAAAAAATTTAAGAAAAGAAAAAATTCTCTACATGTAGGCAAACAGTCATGCACAGAAAGTAAAGTTAAAAGGAAAGGAAACAGGCCAGCAAACATTGTCAAGATAACAGTGAAAGGGGCTCTTGCACACTGCTGCTTGGACGGTGATGCGCCACAGCCACTGCGGGGTCCGGATGGAGGCTCCATAAGAGCTAAGAGCAGAACCGTGAGGTAATCCAGTCTCCACTCTTGTTTCTGTCTGTGAAGGGTCTCAGTCAGCACACCTCAGAGACACTGCATATCCATGCATATTGCGGCACTCGCCAGAATAGCCAAGACATGGAGCCAGACCAGACGCCCACCAGCAGCCGAAAGGATGGTGCAAATGTTATCTGCACGGTGCTTTATTCAGCCATAAAGACTGAAATCGAATTATTTGTAGGAAAATGGATAGAACTGTGTGCCATGTTAAGCAAAATTAGCCAAAAACAGACAAAATTGCCTGTTTTCTTATACGTGAAATCTGTACTTAAATATTAGTATATTTACAGGATATGACGTAAGGAGGAGGGCACGGAAAGAGCAGTTATGGCTGACACAGTGTCCCATCTCTACGTGAAAACTCTAGAGCTGGTCACACACACACAATTTCATGCATCTGAATGTCTCTTGAGTCGTCTTAGCACTGTGTCATAACCGTTGGCCCGTAGGCACATCCATTTACTTTCAGGTGTCTCCGGACTCTTCTTCCTGTTGTGCTAATGTGTGCCCGGACCACACTGTCTGGAGATTTGTTTTGTATGAAGTTTTAAGGAAGTTTGTGCTTTTCTGCAACCCTTGCTATTATATATGAGTTTTAGAATGGCGTTTCTGTCTGCTTCGACAAAGAAGCTAGGTAGACTCCCGCTAGAGCGTGCTGAGACTCCTTTCACCTCAGTGTTACGTGTTCTGAGCCCCAAACATGGAGTAGCTTTCCATTTATAGCTTTGCAAATTTCGTCTGGGTTCTGTCCCTTCGGTTTTGAACTCTTGTAAATTGATTCCTAAAAACTGGTGTTCAGCCTAGTTGCTTTGCTACCTTTGCAAGTATGTAGCCACGCACGTACTTTGTTCACGAACCTTAAGCTGCGGTAGAGCTGGAATCACTCGCTCACTCTGCTTCTTCGCATCTTTTATTTAGAAGGTGATGTAATCTGCTGATAGAAATTGAGTTCCATCCCATTTTTATCTGGACTTTATTAGTTGTTTTTTTTTTTTGTGTGTGTGTGTGTTTGCCCTAGATAGACCTTTCAGTACAGTTTTCAACAGAAGTGACAAAGTGGGCGCTCTTATCTTATTCTTGGTCTTAGGCGAAATCATCCTACATTCACCATTAAGGTTAATTTTAATTTAGTGTTTTTCTTAGATAACCTTTATCAAATTGAAGAAATCATCTTTTTAGTTTGCTGAAACATAGTGGTCTGTACCATTTTTGTCTCACTTATACGAATCAAATGTGAATGAAATTAACTGGATAATTTATAAGTGCGATACAGGTTTACCTTAGGTCAACTAACAGCATGTAATATTTTCCCGCAGCCATAAATGGTTAATAAAATACACTCTCAGTGATGTGCAAATGTCCGTGTTTTTGGAGAGTGGTCGAGAGTAATAAGAACAAGTCAAACAGGCGACATAATTAAAATGCAACTCTTATGGTCGTTCCGATACTGGGAATACTTTCCGTGGGTGAGGCCAGTGAGCTCAGGTGCTGCCGTGTGGAGCCGCCCGTTGTAAAACCACTGCAGTCTGAAGCATTGCGTTCCTGAGATGTTTAATGCATTTGCCCACTCACATCGGTTCAGTGCATGGAAACAAAAATATACTTAGTAGAGCATATAATGTGAACATTTAAACTAAACGCATTAATGCAACTTGCTGAAAGCATAGTAACGCTCCCTTTCGCTTTGGTTGCTGTGTTCCATGAGAGTTTTTACAGGACGGAGCTGCCTGAGGTAGGCTGTGGGCCCTTTCTAGCATGTAGCATTTAAATAGGGTCTTTTAAAAAGTCGATGCATGGTGCTGAGAGATCACCACTGTCTCCTGACGTGTGCATTTTAACTTACAGGAAAACATCTTTATGTATGGAGGCAGAATTGAGACTAGCGACGGCAATGTCACAGATGAGCTCTGGGTCTTCAACGTACACAGCCAGTCCTGGAGCACGAAGACCCCCACCGTGGTCGGGCACGGCCAGCAGTACGCCGTGGAGGGCCACTCGGCGCACATCCTGGAGCTGGACAGCAGGGACGCCGTCATGATCGTGATATTTGGGTACTCTGCGCTATACGGCTACACCAGCAGCATACAGGAGTACCATATCCGTGAGTGCCTTCACCGTGTAATTTCTTCATTAGTTGGTGCTTGGAGCATTTTCACTTTTAATCTTCTAATTATTTGGTCAAATGGTAAATCATTTTAGATTGGAATTATAAGGCAAGGACTAATGCTTTTGAATATAATCTTTATGATTATATTTATGCTAGATTTTTGTCATTTAATATTTGGGTACATCTCTTAGCCAGATGAGGGGGAATGTTATACACTCATTTTCAAAGATTTACAAATAGTTTAAGATGTGAGACACTCCAGTAGATGGTGCTGTTCCCTTGGATTTTACCTATGAACCAAAAGCTGAAATTCGCTTATGTCGTTGTATAGTTCATGATTTTTAGGATTTTAATTTTTTGTATTATGTTCTTGGTCATACTTTTAGGCCTCTGGTTACTTTAAGGTAGATTCTCAAGGATAAACTGTTGATTCCTGGAAGAGGTTCTTATTTACTGTGTGCAGGTGGCCTGGTCAGTGTATGCCTGATTTTCTGTACTGTTTTAATTTTTCTAGTACCTCTCCCCGACTCCTATGGCATTTCCAAGTAGTGATAACTTTTTTCTATAAATTTTAATTTGTCTACAAACATTTACCTCATAGTTGCTGTTTAAATTTACAACTGTGCTCATTTCTGGGGGTCTCCCTCCTTAATGAGCTCCTCCTTTTGGCTTTTGTGTGAACAGCACAGTCAACCTTGAGTCCTTGTACAGTCTCAGGATGAGTGCTCCTGTGCGGGCCGCATTAGCAGCAGGAATGTCTGCGTGAGGGAGGTGCCTTCCGTGGCCTCGCCCGAAGTTCTCCTAGAGCCTGCAGCGCACTTTTTATTACAGATGTGTTACTCTTTAGGCGCTGCTGAGCCTTTCTACTTGCTGCACATAGTACCTCCCGTGCTGTCGCTCTTGGACCTTTCCGTTTCGTCCTTTGCCTCTGATCCTCCCTGTGCTGTCCTGCTCACCCTTCCAGCTCTGCCTGCCTTGCGTTCATAGTAAGCAGTATGGCATCACCCTCGTATTGTGTGCCACCTGTCAGGTCAGCTTGTTCCCGTCCAGTTTTCCTTGCTGACTGTTTCATAAGCGTGTCTCCCTTCTCTAACACGCATGCTGTCAAACACACATGATGTGTTTCATGTCTTCACAGTGTCATTCGGTCATGGAGTGCTTTGCTGGATGGAGGGCACACCAATGCACTGCAGTGGCTGGAGGGCTGGTGTCCCTGCCAGATGTTAGCTAACACACGTATTGTCTGGTAGATTGTGGTTCCAGTTAGGAACAATCCCTCTGTAGAATTGCAAGGGGAGTTGTGGTGGATTAAAAAGTATCTGCGCATTCACTTCCTTTTGGGTTATTCTATAACCAAAATTCTATTTTTATTCTTTTGTTGGTTGCATAGAAGTGGGATGAATTTTTGAGTATTATAGAAATAATAGATGAATCATGAGCATTTGAAAAATTCTGTGTATTAGGAAAGTGAAAATTAAAATGTCAGTTTTTCTTTAAGTGGTGTTTACCGCTGTGTCCAAGTGCATTTGAGCTGCTGCTGTAATGCCTAGGTGTCTGATGTCAGAAGGGTAAAGTTCTTTCACCCTGAAAATGCCACAGGAAAGAGCACACAGCAGGGAACAGATAATGTTGGAGGATGTAAGCTCACTGAGCCACAGGACGCAGTGCTGGAGAGCGCTGCTGGGCAGGAGAGGAGGCTCATGTCACCCGCTCCTGCAGAGGACATGATCAGGTCCCAGCAGCCACCTGGCCTGCTGATGTTACAGACACAGGAGAATGTCTTCTTTTTCCTTTGAAACGTTCACTGGTGTGCCCATGGGTAAAACCCAGCGATATGATTGTCAGGAGAGTGCTGAAACTTTAGTTCTTAGGGCCGGCACCTTCTGAAGTTTGCTCAGTTAGCTTAGGTTTCAGGGCAGAGGCCATGTAATTTTTATCTTTTTTATATCACTAACTTATTTCGAGTTTGTCACACGAAGGCACCAATATGTATTTGCTATATATTTTATTTTATTAAGGACTATTTTTAAATAACACAAATACACATAAAAAAGTTTCCCCTTTTCTCTTTTGGTAATACAATAATTGGATTTTCAGTGTTTCAGAAGTTATTATGGGATACCAAGGACAGTTAGTCCTTCGTCAGCACTGACTGTAGCATCTTCAGCTATTATGTGCTGAGTGAGTGCTGTTCAGTTCTAGCTACTTATAAAAATGTTAACCTAGTGGCTTTTGGGATACTTTGGTTATATTTTTAACTACTGTTTGAGTTTCATGATTTATTTATTTATTTTTTTCTGCTACAGCATCAAACACTTGGCTAGTTCCAGAAACTACAGGAGCGATTGTACAAGGTGGATATGGCCACACAAGTGTGTATGATGAAGTAACCAAGTCCATTTATGTCCATGGAGGCTACAAAGCATTGCCAGGCAATAAATACGGGCTGGTGGATGACCTCTATAAGTATGAGGTGAACACCAAGACCTGGTGAGTAGAGATGGAGAAAATCTGATAGTGGTGCACAATAATATTTTATTGCCTTTTCTCATAAATATATTTTGATAGTGTTCTTTCCCCTTTGCCTGCTCCCCCCAGACCCTCCTCAACCCTCTACCCATCAACCCCATATTTTTTCCTCTTTCAGTAAAAAAACACAGACACACCTTTAATCCCAAACAGTGACGTCTAAGTGAGGGGTACACAAAGTGAGAACCAGAGAAAGATGTGACAGAATGAATGAGAGATAGGATCCACCCAGCCCTGGAGGGAACAGACAGGAAGGAGAGACTACTTAAGAGCAGTGCAGGGAGAGAGTGGAGTTCTGTGCAGTTCTGTTGAGTTCCTGCCAATCTGTGCAGTTTCCCTTCAGTTTGTGCGGTCAGTGCAGTTCAGTTCATTGGGTTCAGAGGCAGTTTTTCCAAGTAGAGCAATTCAGTAAGAAGCAAGAGAAACCAGTTTGAATCAGGCAGCTTGGAGAGGCGTTTGAGCCAGAACAGCTGATTTGGACCAGCCAGCCAGAGTTCAGAACTAGGAAGGGTGAGCTTATTCAGCAGTAAGTCTCAGAGCTGAAAACAGTCTAGGCCTAGGTTAGCAGACAGAGCCTGGAAGCTGAAGTCTTCAGGGTCTGGGCTTGTAGACTATTAGATTGTATTTAGGCTGCAAGTTTATAGGTCCAGGCCTAGGGATAATTAGAACAGAGATAAAAATACTCTGGTTCAGCCCAAGCCTTCTATTTGTAAAGCTTGTGTATGGTCTCATCTCATCATCTGAGGAAATGAAAACAACATTTAGACTGTATATACAAACAATATAATTTAAATAATTTCTGAGCTCATACAAATACCTATAAGTACTTCTATTACATTCATTTTAGATGAGTGATTTTGTTTACCATTATAATTTCTAGCTTTGGAATTATATATGCAGGATTTGTTCTTATTTATACTTTTCAGCTTTATAATCTAATTTGAATAAGATACAAAGCTTATGGTATTAAGATATATTTTTCATTTTTAATATCTAGCAGTGCTAGGCACACGTTATAGCATCCTTCTCATGCTCATTTGTAGTAATTTTTCTGAGCTGCATGCATTAAAGTGACATGGAGATGTGTTCCTGAAGTGGCATGTAGCTCTGAGGTGCCATCTGCCTCCCACATCAGGGAAGGTCCTGGTTCTCAGTAGCAGCTGAAAACAGAATTTCTGCTCCTGCCCATGGGGCAGATAGGAACAGTAGCTCAGTAATATTTTGATACGTGTCTCCCCAATTAATACGGTGATTCTGAGTTCTTTTAAGCGCCCATTTGTCTCTTTTTGTTTAATGTATGACTTATTTATATCTCTCACATTCAATTTCTGCTAGAAATACTGATTTTTTTTACTTATTGTTTGTGTTTATAGTTTTGAAATATATATATATATGTATATATATTTACATATATATATATTGCTGTGCTTGTTTCTTTTGCAGAATCTGGGAAATTATGCTTTTTGTTTTAAGACAATAAACATGTCTTTTGAAGGTGTTTGAGTGCACTTAAGGAAAATTGTTTGCTAGAGACTGATTTATTATCCTTTCACTTTTAACTCAATGCCTTACTTCCCACATTGTCTAAAAAGAGTAGGGGTTGTGAGACCTCCTCTGGGAAATGAACAATAATATTTTAAAGATGAAAAAAGATATTAAGGCACACAACGAAGCAGCTTCCTAAGTGCTAAGGACAAGGGAAATTAATATAATTATAGTAAAATCCCCGGAAAATGAAGACAAAAGTAGAAACAAAGAGGACAGGTGTTCCCTGCCTCAGAGGCGACCCTGACTGACCGACGACCAACCAATTCTCCTTGTTCTGTAATGCATATGTGTTGTGAGAAGTGGATGTGCATGGGTGTGTTTGCTCTGTGGTGGGCACACACGTCTGTGCGGTCACATGTAGGCCTGCATGTGCATGCCTGTTGAGCTTTGAGATTGGAGTCATCTTATTTATCAAGGAAGGGTCTCCCAGATCACCACAGAGTCACTGACACAGCTCTCCCGGCTGGCCTGCTTACTCCAAGGATGCTCTGCCTCTCTCCTCCACTGTCCACGCACTGGGACTCAGGTGGGCTACCACACCTACGTGCCTTCACCTGGGCTCTGGGGAGCTGGGGTCTACTCCCTGCCCTAGTCACTTAGTAAACGCTTCACCACTCGAGTAGACAACTGCTTAACTGAACACATGGAAGCCAGAAAACACGGTGCTTTCAAGTGTCTGAGAGACAGCCAGCCTAAAAGTCTGTACCTAAAGGAAATAGTGTTAAAAAAGCAAGCAACATAATGGCATTTAAAAAACCCAGCCAGCCAACCAGCCAACCAGCCAGCCAGCCAACCAGCCAACCAGCAACCAGCCAACCA